TTTATAGAGTACTTACATTGTCTGTAATGGGATGGGATTTATAATGAAGGACATTTAAGGGACTCAAATAATTCGCCTAGCTGGTAGTTGGCAGGGGTGTCTCCTTGGTGGACGGTGTATCCATTGTAAAAATATATATTTATTTATTAAAATTAATATAACAATAATAAGCAAAGATCTGCTCGGTACATTTATACAGCTTTATCCCTTAATGTCCATATGCAATTTAAACAATGAATGGAATTTCAAGTTGTTCAAGAGTTGTGTAAATAATAATTATTATGTGCGTCAGTTGGCTGTAATACTTGTCGCTGTGGTGTAGGTTGTGGCAGTGTGTGTGTGTGTGTGTGGTTGTGTGTGCCTGTGGCTATGTGTCTGACAATGTATGGCTCTTTGGCGGCTATTTTTATGGCCACACAGTTATAACCGTGTCTATTGCCGTTGGTTGGGCGCTAATTAAGTCTGTTTTCTAACTGCCCTCATGCACATTTTGGCTGGCCAGTGCTGCCAATTCGCTGTGGGGGACTCATTAACTGCAAATCCCAAATTAATTGGGTATTAGACACAATGCATTACCGGCTAAGCGAAAAGTGTTGCCATTGTCGCTGGCTAGGCCTAGGCTCCAACTCCGTCTCCACTCAGCTATAAAATGCGCAAATGGGGCGTGTCAGCAGCAGCAGCAGGCGCCCATAAAACCAAGCGAATGTATTATAAAAAAAAGCAAGCCAAAAGCGACTGCCAACTCGCTTATTGATTCTCTGGCAGCAGCAGCAGAAGCCCTGGCAGCCACCCAAGGGCCATTGGCCCATAAAAATATTAATGCAGTAAAAACTGAAATTATTCATATGTTTGGAATACAGCTATCCCTGCCCTAACCCCACCCCCGCTCCCTTGTTTCTCTATATGCATATATGTAGACTATCTATATATTTAATATTGAAGAATATTTTTCTGTTTATTAAGGCACATTTTGTGCATTGTTGTTGGCTTCCTCTACAAATGCAGATATACATATATGCATCAAAGTCAGCAAAAATTCAAGTTTCTGTTTGTATTTCAAAACTGCAGACACCAAAACAAACAACACAAAAGCAAAGTCTAGGAGGCTGGGCAGGGATTGGGGAGCGGCATTGGGAGCGGCCCCATAGAGAGACATAAATTGGCATTTTGTCCGGCCGAGGCAGAAAATGTTTTGTTTATTATGGGGTCGCATCTATTTGCCTGTTTGTCCAGGCTCAAAGCTCCTTTTCAGATTTATGCGGAAAAGTTTTGACAACAATTCGCATGCCCTTATTAAATGCAAATTGAAATTTTAAATTTAAGCGAGATACTTAAACAGAAATTAATCCCTAAAATTTTCATAACAAACAAAAATGTTTAATTAATTTAGGTAAATGAGTTTGAAAATTACTTACATTCGGAAATTACTTACATTTTTCAGCATTAATCGGATCTTAAAGTGCAAATGATTGTACTTTAATAATAGTTTTTCTTTTTAGATATATTGTGCATATATTTCTCATTGAAAAAAGTAGTTCAAGTTCAACACAACTTCAAAAAGTTTGTTTTCTCTATAATATGAATCAAGTAGAGAGGAAATTAAAAATTATATTTTTGGCATCCTACCCTAAACAATTGTAAATGTTAGAGCTTTTTCTATGCCATGGTGGTTTTTTCAAAGATTTTTTAAGTTCATAAAAACAAAAACCCAGCACATTTGCAAATTTTTATTTAAAAATTCTTTAATTAGTTGTAAAATTCCAATATTTATTTCCCAGCTATTATGTTTTTTACCAAGAGTAGGTATTTGGATAACCCGCATGCTTATAGGCAAACAATAAGTAGTCGTCAGTAAGTAGTTTAGCCATGAGCTGCCACTCCGCGCGGCCCCCTTTCCCGCCACAGTGCTCTATACAAAGATTCTTCCAGCTGTTTTCATTGTTATGCGTAGTATGCACACTTGTGTGTACAAGTAAATGTACTTAGGACATGCTAGCGATTTATTTGACTTCACTCACAAAACTACACACACACACACACACACACACACATCCGGTGGTGTGTGAGTGTGTGTGCTGCAAATTAACCCAGTCACGTACTGCGCTTAGCCGGGCCTAATCAAATAAACGCGCCAAATTAAACAGCAGCCGCAAAAACAACAACGGGCGACAAGTAAATATATGAGTGTGACACCTCGATGTCAGATTGCACAGGCAAATACTAGACGGATAGAGAGAGAGAGAGAGCGAGAGAGAGTGGGAGGCATATTTTTATTTATCAAGTACTTTAGGCAACGCTCAACAGTATGCTAGCATTTTTGCTTTTATGTATACCCTATAAGCTTTGTTTAGAAAAGATTTACTAGCTCTTACACATATATCACTTGCATAAAAATATCCCGGTTTCTCAAAGCGCTTGGGTAAACAAAAGAAGTCTTAGAGAATTTAGTTATTTTGTAGAAGACAAACAGATGCAGCATCGTTCGCTTTGCTTCTTTAATTTGCAAGTGGTTAAAGCTGCGGACCGAAAACAAAGCCTTTCCAATTTAGATTCAATAGGAAAGTCTGCCTTTAATAGAACAGGGTAGTTCTTGAAATAGCTATACAGGAAAGCTGCTCACTCTTGCTATTTATACCTAGTTGCTGTTGTTGTTGACCAACATTAACCTCGACCCGGCCAGGTTATCATTGAGGTAATACTAAACATTTTACTTAAATATACAATTTTCAACAATATTTCATTTGTTTAAGTAGTTTTTTAGTGGTTTTCTTCCATGTTTTTTATATTTGAAACATTATACAGGGTATCTGTGCGTTAGTTCGTACAGCTCTGAGTGCCAATTTCAAAGTAACCCATTTTGTTGGGCTTTTTTTTTTTGTTGCGTGCCACGCTTTGATAAGTTGTTGCAGCTGACGTCATATTAATTATGGTGGCGCACACACAAAATGCGATTGGCCTGTGGCAGAGATTCGATCGGAACAGGACTCAGATTGAGTGGCACGGCTTGAGTGTGCTCGCATCGAGTGGCAGCTCGTCCTGTCTGGGGCACACTTGAGTGCCTGCCGCCCAAATGAGCCAAAGGCAGAGCAGCTGCCACGTCAGAGTTGTGCCTTGAGCTGTGCCAACATGCGTTGCCAGCTTGTTTACATTTTGTTGCTTTTGTTGCTGCTGTTGTTGATTCTTTTTTAACATTTTTGTTTACCAGACGGAGCAGCACGTGCTGACAGAGCACCCCATCCGCTGCGCCCCCGCCCCAAGTGCTTCCCGTTCTCTGATTGTATTTGTTGTTGGTGCTTTGGGTATGCGGCAGCACCTGGGGCATGCATATTTTATATGGCCGTAAGCTGTTGCCACTGTCTCAGCGTCTGTCTCAAGCCGCCACTAATCGCAATTGTTGAAAGGGGCAGAACGCACATCATTATTTTTAGCTTGTTTTGGCCGTTTTACAGATATCTTGCTCTTGTTCTTCTTGAGCTAATTATTTATTTATATACTTTGGCTTATTCCCAAAACTGGCAACGCAAATATCTCAAGATTTGCAACTTTCAATTTGCGCTTTAGATGTGGCATGCGGCATGTGGCATAATCAACAAGTCTGTTTAGCTGCAACAAAAGGCAGCTTAGCTTTTGGCTTAAATATTCGCTTTCGCTTTTGTGGTCACAAAATTGTGTCAAATTGTTTTTGTTGCTGTCGCAGCGAACCATTTGAAACTGTTCATTGAAAACATTGTAAGTCGACGTTTTGATGCTCTAAAAGCTTAAAATTTTTGTGGGATATTTCTGCAGTTGGACATTAAATGAAACAGAACAAGGTGGAAGAGGGTTCGTGGCTCAAAAATGTTACGACATAATTTAGTCAAGAAATTGTTTTAATTGTCTATAATAACATTCCATACTTTATCAATTTATGACATTAAAGGATAAGCTTAGCATACTTTTAGGTTGATTTTCAATGATTAAAAATATTATTATTAAAAGGCTGGAATTGCGAGAACGAAAATCTATAATGCAATTAATGATACATTTATAGTATATAAAGAGAAATATTCTTTAAAAAAATTGATCGATTATTGGCGAAGTCTAGAATGATCATAAAATAAAATTGCATCGTGTATTAAATATATGCATAAATATTTTATATATATATATATATATTTATTTTAAGATATAGATATGCATACAATTTATACTAACATATGAAATCTTTTTTTCTGTTTACAGCATCTATTATTTTTTACGAAATTGGAAACTATAAGTAAACTAGTTTATAAAGTGTTGAAAGCTTACTATTCTAACTCGGTAAGTACTTCAATTTGATTAATTAACTTTATTTTAAGTCCAAGTATTATGCTTAGAGCCAAAAGTAAATTTGGTGAGTAAAAAGCGTGAACAATATTTAATTTTGTGTTATATTTATAAGCATCACCTAGCTCTAGCATGTACTCAAAATATAATAATGAAACCCAATAGCTAGATCAAAGTTGACCTCCATATGAATATATGAACTACCTCAGAATTATAGTTCAAAAAGTACTCGAGCTATGATGCTGAAATTTGTGATTTGAGCTCTTCAAATGCTTTAATTTTATTTTCTGATTTCAACCAGCGCAAAAGGTGGCCCAGCTATGCAATTACTAAAGACACAATGATGAAACACAATATGTAGCTCAAAGTTGAACTCCTTGAATCGATACAAAGTAAAGTAAAGGGCTCATGAAGCAATTCACAACGCGATTTCTTAATGTTTGTATTTCACAAGGTACTCCCGTCTATAGTGAAGCAATTTGGTATGTCGGTTAGTGTTCACCTCCATTGTAAAAGTAAACATTATGACAAGTTGTTGTCAGAGGGCTGAGGCTGAAACTGTCTTAATTAAAGCAGACATTTCAAACAGAGTGCTGAAATCTGCCTTCTCCGCGGCTGTCAGGCAGTTAATGAGATTGGAAAGAAACAGAGAGATAGAGAGAGAGAGACGGCTTTCAAATGTTGCTTAAATAAAATACTTTTGTTTATTTGTTTATTGCACAGAAAAGGTTTCGCTTATTGTCTAAACACAGTGACAAATCACACCCAGTTTTTTTTTTTTTTTTTTTGTTGTCTGAGACTTGTCCATTCATTCGATCATTATTTTGGTTTTTATTTGCTTAATATGCGAAAGTTACGTATATGTGAGTTTGTGTAAGTGTGTGTGCGTTTGGTTCTCATTTTGGGGACACGCCCACATTGCGTGACGCCCATTGGTGTGCAGCATTATTAGACAAAAGGATGCCGCGTGCGCCGCTTGGCCTTGACAGGATACTCGTAACCCTCAAAGTCATCATCGAGCTCATCCTGCTCATGATAATGATGGCTGTGACTGCTGCGATGATGCTTCTTCGGCTCCTTATGCTCCTTGACCGGCACCGGAATGGGCAGTGGTACTTTCTTTATGATTGTCTTGGTGTGGACATGCGTGTGATGCTTCACCGGCACATGGATGCGAATTCTGCGAATGCGAATGAATTTCTGAATGTCAATGGTCCTAAGAGAGATTCAGTTTGGGTTTTGGGCTTGTGCACGTTATGTGCTCTGGTTATGGCTGTAGTCTGTGGACATGTCGTTAAAGGCGTGCCCGTTACACTTACTTAAGCTTGTCGTTTGATGGATGGCCGCTTGTCAGGGCAAACATCATGCAAGTGATAAACAGCAAACTTAATGCCTGCAAAGAAAAGAAAAAAATATGTAAAGGAAGCTAAAAAAAAACGTATATAAAAAGTTGATTTGGGCATAAGATTCTTTTTGTTGGTAACTGGGCTATAAGATTTTGATGTGCACGTTAGCTGAGAGTGTGTGCTTTACCAAATCTGAAAATATTATATTTAAAATATAAGCTATCGGTAGTTTTGTTTCCTAAAGAACATCCTTTGTTGCGCCTTTAAGCGTGCATTCAAGAAATTTCTTTAAATATTATTCGTCTCTTCATGAAATACATTATATTTTAAAAGTAGTGTCATTAAAAGTATTTTTCCTTATTTTATTTTTATGGTTAACCTTATACTTCAAACCTTTAACTATGCAAACAAAACTGCGTTAAAATTTGAATATTTGTTTTTAATTTCTATAAAAATATTCCTTTGTTAGGCTGTTTAACACAACGTCAGCAAAGCACATTTACACGCATCTCGCTCGACCCAAATCTGCTCGAAAAGCGTCTCTTTTAATTTTTCAATACTATCAGGCCAGTGTTGAGTAAGTAAGCTAAGATCATTAACAGCTTGTTTGATATATTAAAACCATTACACAGCACTGAATGCATTAGCCTTATGTACGCTATATATCTGTATCTGTATCTTTATCTGTATCTGTATCTGTATCTGTATCTTCATCTGTATTTGTATCTGTATCTGTGTCTGTATCTGTATCTTTCGATATCAGAATCATCTTTATCTATTGCATCAAATTACAAGCTACCCATATCACAAATTTGCATGAATACAGGGTACCCGAGCATCACTGACTTCGTTTGTTTCTTTCTGTCTTGGCCTATGTGGGATAAAAAAAAGCTTTAGCGCGTCTATAAACAAAACAATATAATTAGCATAATGCCCGTTGCCATTTTGATGTTTATGTCTATATTAAGCAGAAGCAAATCTGATTTTGATTGCCGCTGCCGCTGTCAGCACTTGTTATGGGCGGGGGCGCCGCAGAAGCTTAAAGGCCAAATCTAGGCGTAATTACAGTATCAAAGAATATCCCAAAATGCCTCGGCCAGCAGCTGACTTTAAAAGGCAGCTAATAGAAATTCTCAACGGTTATCGATTTTGGCCACAATTCTGAATTCGACTCAAACAGCCGAACCAGCCCGAGGCGCATTCAATTAGCAGTTTGTTGAGAAGCGTGCGGCAAAATGAAATTGAAATTGGGGGAAATTGGAAAATTGCTTTTAAATGTTTTTGCTCATCACTTTCCAACTCATTAAATAACATGTTGAGCTGTTCGTGTCTGGCCATGTGGTCAAAGTTTTCTACAGGGCCAAAAGAGCCAAAGCAACAGCTGCCTTAAGTAATTCACTAATAGAACAAGTATTATCCATGCTCGTAATATAAATATTTAAATAGTTTTCCTATACCAAGCAATTGGTATGAAAAGTAGCAGAAACTTATATTAACAAATTCTAGTGACACTGGAGAGCGCATTTGCATAATTAATTCGATGTTAAAACTATCTTTGAATGATTATTAAAGTGACAATGGAAGCTAAGTGAATAAATAAATTATAGAATGTTTCTGATTAATAATAAGACGAATCGCATGTGTATACTCAACAAGGGAACTGGTATAAGCACAATTTAATTGAGATAAATGTTCAACAATAATAAGATGCGGATAAGAAGATACGGATAATCAGATATAGATCGTGAAGGACAGCTCTGAATTGTGAGGAATAAAAACAAATTGTGTTAACTAGCTAAGATTTGAGATGAGGGTGAAAAGTAGCAGATTATGTGCTTGTGTGTGAATTAATAATGAAATACAAATATATTTTTGGACTTGAAAGGAGATGCTGCGTTGTAGTTATAAGAGTTATGAACAATTTGAAGTATTTGACCATTAATAATAAGTCCGGGCTGGGAGAAGGACAATAAGTTATTACAAGCACCAATTAAATGGACTGTTAAATAATATCATAAAATAATTTAAAGAGCAAGTAGTGGAAGCTGAACAAAATTTAAGTGATTAAAGCCATGTGGGGCTTTCAGATGATTTATGATATCTGTGAATAAACTGAATGAATGAATATGTGTGTGGTTGATGACCGCAAAGCTTGAGCTTGAGCTGGAATGAATTTATGTTTCAAGTCAATAAGACGCATATATATTAAACTGAACTAAAAAGTACTTCCAAAATAAAATTAGAAAAAAATCGGGTTTTTTCTTGCTTTAAAATCCTTTAAATTATATTTCGTACACTCGCAAACACTTGGCTGACATTTGAAGCAAAGACCAATTAGATTGTCAAGCACTTGAGAGCTCTTAAGGGACCGCATAATAAACGCGTGATGAAATGGCCAAACTGTGCACAAGCTGTATAAAAAATGCATATATATATAAATGTATATTTATCTAACGATTTTTGTATAGCTCACAAAAACAGTGTTCACAACATTTTTTTTTGTAACACGCGCGATTGAAGTCAATGATTTTGTGGGCCGACAAAAAGTTGAAATCTTTTATTTTGTTTTTGCGCTTTTAAATTGATGCAATTGTGTGTGTGTGTGTGTGTGTGTGTGTGTACTTTCTAAGCGGACTTTTGGTGTGGTTTATTTTTTGTATTTAATGGCAAATGTTTATTCAATTTTTGCATAATTTGTGTGTCCAACGCGTTCGATGAACTCTGCTGTTTGTCGTTGTTGTCGTTGTTGTTGTTGCGGGCAATAAATTAAGTTAACGCCAGGGGAAAAATGAATTTTTATTATTGCCACGAGCGAGCAAAAAAAAGGATGCTTTTTTTATTTAAACGCTTAACTCTTTTTTTTTTTAATATATTTTTTCGTTTGGTTTGCAGTTGTTGCTTTGCACATTTTTGTTGGTTTCATTTGCTTTTTATTGAAATGTAATTTTAATTAACACTTACGCCTCGGGGCAAATGCATATTGACACGCCGAACCTTACAACTTTGTTGCCAGCTCTAAATTAGTTCTCTTTTTTTTTTTTTTATATATTTATATACAATTTATTGTATTTATTTTTGTCGATTTGATAGTTTTGCTATTCGATTAATTATGTTATACTGTGCAGCGCGTGGTTGGCTTTTTAGCAGCGCTCCAGCAGCGTCTAAAGTAGAAATGGAATTGCACTGGGAACTGGCGCTGGTCGCGGTTTAAATATAAAAAAATCAAAGAAAAAAAATAAATTTTGTGCTACAGTGAAACGTGCCACAGCGCGAAATGTTAACTTTAAGCCGCAAGTGAGAGTGCAACAGAGCGAGATGCAGCACGTGTGAGCGAGCAAGCGAGCAGGTGTAACAGCAGCAGCAACAGCAACAACAACAACAACAACAACAGCAACAACAACAAATGTAATGACATGAAGTTGCCGAGTTGGAAGTAAATGAAATAAAAACATAATCAACACACACCGGCTGCAAAACTTGACCAGCTATTGTTGATCAAAGAGGCAGAGTGCGAGCGAGGGAGAAGGGTACGGGAAGGTAGGGGGGGGCTGTGCTCAGCTTGGTGGTTTTGAATGTGCAGAGTGCGACAACAAACGCTGGCGCTAGCGTTGCGGCAAGTGCTTCAAAGCGTGGCATAAACATGGCAACAGCTGTCCGTCAAAGCGACTCACGAATGCGCTGCAATAAAGCATATTCAAGAGACGACAATTGAGCATAAACTTTAAGCAGCGCCTAATAATGTTTTTAAGAATAATGTTATTAATCCCTGCCATGCCTTACAAATATAGTCAAATATACATTTTACAAACAATTGTATAACCACAAGACTAATTCCTTAAGTTTGCATTATTTATAAAAATAAATTTCTTAGCGCTATATATTTTCTATAATAGATGCATAAACTTCCATAAACTTCTTTGGTATTCTCTATCAAATTTTATTAATGCCTCGCCAAACTGGTTCGCACTTGCGCTCCTGCTTGCTAAAATATAGCAACTTTTTCTAACTGTCTATTAAATTCCAACAAAATTAATTAAAATGGTTCTACAATTATTTAAGTACCAACTTGCAGTATTTGCTTGAAGATTAAGTTCAATAAGCCGCAGCGGGAATTGTGTAGGGTGCTTAGCTCTTGACTGATAGTGAAAATACAACTCGTATAACAACAATAAAGACAACAATTACAACAACAACAATAGCAACAGCAGCAGCAACAACAACAAACGCAAACGCACAGCGGCAATCACATTAGCAAGACAATCTGGAAAATACTCGCACAATAAGCAAGAGGCGCACCGAGAGCGATGGGAACCGCCTCGAATACATGCCAACCACATTGTGAAAAGCCGCCAAACATGTAGCCCAGTGGGCTGTGCGGATAGAGGATAGAGGGGGGCTCTAAGCCGGTCAGGTTGGGGCTCGGCAACTGGCAGCGCCAAAGTCAAAAGCGTAATTGAAGCTTGTGCCTCAGTTAAACGCAGGCGATTATGTCTGCTGGCTTTTCATGGCAAGCCGCGACTGCCGCAGACAACAGACAACCAACAACAACAACAACAACAACAACAATTGGCAGCAGGTTCAACTTGCCACAAGGATTATATAGCCTGAAGCTGCTTCCTGGTTGCCTAAAAGCCAGCAACCAAAACTGTAACCGTAACGTTAACCAAAAACCGAAAACTAAACTGAAACTCGACACCGAAAACCGAACAAAATATTTGATTTTACCATTTGGCTGTTAACGAAGTCATCATAAATTGAGCTGTCTGGCACGTTGAAATATGTCGCCATTTGAGCGGGCCAAAAGCCCCCCTTCCCCTGCCCACTGTGCCTACCCCTGGAATTGACAGTTTTTGACTGTGGCAATTTAAATGTGCAACCAACAGCAACGAGCAGCAGTCATGATATTGCAATTGAGTTGATTGGCATTGCCATTCTGGCCAGCGGCCTATTACATCTAATCGGTAATCCATCTAATGCAGGAAGCGCCAACAGTAAAAACAAAGAAATGCTAAAGGCCTAATGAGATAAGGTATTTCATCATTAAAATCATTTGGGATACGACTTTCATAACTATCTAACAACATGTCGAAAATGCTTTAAAAGAAAGTCACAATTGAACTAATAAGGTTTTAAGCTAAAGAAATTAAATGAATTTCCAGCTTAGAGCTTTAGATATACGTACTAGATAAAATTGTACAAGCTCCCAAAAGCTACAATAAATCCAAAGCTTATGGAAATATTAAAAGGCTATTCAACAATATATCGTACACTCTTTACAAAAAGTTGCAAGTGCAAGCAATTAATTGACTTAAATCTTAAAGCTTTCGCTTCAACTTTTTATATTCTTACCTTTTGAAGTTCCTAAAACTTACGAAACCAAAGCTCAAGTTATGACTATTGAAGAATATGTCTAAAATGCACAAAAAGAAATTCTTAATTGAGCTCAAATGGTTTTGTGTAGTTTTATTTTTCATACTATTAGGCGCTGCACTTCAGCTGTACGCAACTCTTTTTAATTAATGGCCATTTTCTGTAGTTACACTAAATATAATTTAGTATGAAACTGTTGCTGCCAAAGGTGTTTCAAGTGCAGTCAATGGAGCACCCAGTGTAAGACGTCTTCAACTGGTTTCGGACGCATTTTCCGGCCACCCGCATTGCATAACAGCAACAGCTAAAAATAATGGCCAAAACGACACTTGCAGTTGGTCAGCAGCTCATCCATTTGTTAACTGGACGGCAACCGAAACATTTTCCGCACAAATTAGCAGCTGGAAGACACACAAAAAAAAATAATAATAATAAATGTAAAAGAAACGCAACAAGCAAAGCGTTTTCACTTTTCTATGGCGATGATATAACATTTGAGATATAATATATAATTGGTGTAAAGATAAATATTTATATATAATATATATACATATTTTTCTATAATGATTTATTGGCCAGGCCAATTGGCCTGCAATTGCAGAGTTTTCTGAGTATATTTTTGTTTTTCTTTTTTGGTATTGTTGGCAATTAAATTGGATGATATAATCGCCGTCAAGTGTTGGCTCTCATAATAGAGTCAAAATCCCAATGCTTGAGTAAACAAATTGCGACCGGTTGCCGGTTGCCGTTTACCGGGTCCGAGTACGGCTTTTGTGCGCCCGGTTACGCGGCGTATACATAATGGAAGTGTTGCCAAGTGTCAAAAGGAAAAAATACATATTATTAATTGAACAGCACAGAGCATTGCACCAAAATCGTTTGTTGGCCGGGTCATTAGCAGCAAATTAAGTGAATGTGACAACGAGCAACAGCAACAGCAGCAGCAACAGCAACAGCCACAAAGCAAACAAACAACAAACGGAAACAAAAAGAAAACAACATGCAACATTAATAACTTGCAACAACTTGGCTGAAAGCCTTTCAATCAATCTCAATGTCAATATTTGTGCAATAAAAACTGGCGCAAGGCCAAGGGACGCGCTCGCTCAATCAATTGGCCAAGCGAATTGGCCCATTCGTTGAGGCCACATTTGGCTAACCTGTTGGCCAAGCGGCGCCACAAAGAAATAACACAAGAAATGAGTGAAACGAAAGCCTTTCGCTTTCAAACGAGGGTCTTTTCTTGACTTTTCGCTGACTTGAGCCGAGTTTAATTTCAGCTCGGGACAATTTGTGGGCATATTTTGAGGCGAACTTAATTGGCATTTGTGAGAGTTTTGGGGGAATTTTTGTTGTTCAATTTAAAAAGGGTTTTAGACAGTTATATATAGAAGAATATAATCTTTGCTTCTATTTTTTAAAGTCCTTTTTTATTTAATAAGTTTATCTCTTAATACGAACTCAAATCTTGCATAAAGCAAGTGAAATGAAATCTGTTTGGAAGAAGTTTTCCAAATCGAAATTCATTTCTATAAGATTTGAATTTGATATATTGTTAAACCTGCAGTCTTATTCTATTTTCTTATATATCTTTATTCCAACACTCGACCAATCCTCATAAGTCAATTGAATATCAAAGTTCTTAGTTTCGCTGCGGTCTTTAGTAATTCCCTTGCTTACTCTCTCCTATTTCTATATCGATACAAGCCTCCCTTTAATCGAATACTTAAGTATTTTTTATGATCTTTACAATATTTAAAAATAATAATATTATTATATATTTTTATACCCTTGAATAGGGTATTATAATTTTGTCTCGAAATGGGTAACGCATAGAAAGAATCATCTCCGGTCTCATAAAATATAGATATATTTTTGATCAGTAAAAACATGTCTGTCTGTCCATCTTAGTAATAAACTATCGGCATGAAATCTAGCATGAAATCTTCCTTCTGTTGCACGCAGTACATATGTCGAAACTGGCTGGAAATCATATAGCTGACATAGGAACGATCGGTCGACAATAAAGTTCCTGTATGAGGAACTTTTTTGTTTTTCAAGATATATTGACCAAACTTGGCTATCTTCGACGTGCCGAAGATAGCCTCTCTTTCTCATTTTTATATTTATATTATTTTATGTATTAAATTGTAACAACATTTACGAAACCTTCTATCAACTATGTTAATTATTTGATATTTATATAGATACCATAATAGTAATTAAAAAGAGATTTTCACGAAATATGCATTGATATATTTGACATTTAATTGAACTGATTGAGCTGCCCTCGCACGCACACACACATATGGTGAGTGTGTGCACTGAGCGTGGCGAAAAAGGATTATCGAATTGTAAGGCCCGGAAACCAATACATCAGCCTGTTGTCTTCATTTCCTTAACCAATAAATTTTCACTTAACTATGTCGGTCGCGAGTCGCATGCAACATACAATAGTTGTTGCTGTTGCATGTGGCAGCAGCATGTTGTCTCCGTGTTCATGTCGCGTTGAATCCGAACCGACCATTGTTTGCCGTTGTTGCCGTTGTTATTGTTGTTGTTGTTGTTGTTGTTGTTGCTGCTGCTTTCTGTGTGTGACACAATTTTCCCGTTTTGCTCGTAAATTCAATTGACGGAAGCGCGTTAAAGTTGCAACAGCTGCGGCTCGCAAAGTGTTGCACGGTCCGAAAAACTTGTCGCCAATATATTTATGCATATACATATATGTACATATATTATGCATTTGCATATTGATCAGAGCCAATCAGCTACGCCAGCTCCCAGCCATTGG